AAGATCAATACAACAATTCAAGGTCAATTCAAGAATAGAGGATGTAGATGTCAATATATTATTTATATGATGCTCATCTCCTTGCAATAAATTGGAATCCATGACTTGAATTATTGCATGTGCCATTGACTTACTTACCCAGCTCTTCAAGCTCAATCCTAACACAAATATATCTTCCATGGCCCTTTTTCTTGTAAACACCTCTAATAGCATAATTCCATAGCTATATACATCTATTTTTGTTGAAACAATTCCAGAAGATTCATGTTCTGCATATAATTGAATTTAAGTAATAAAATATAACTAATAACTAAATAAGACTATTCATGCAGTCAATTAGAGTAGATGAGATAAGAGAGAATTGACATAATTGAATTTAAGAAATAAGTTATGTTGTGCTACCTAGTTGTAGTCTTGAGTTTATGAAATGTATATTTTTGTTTACCCTAACAATTAATAGGAAAATTTTATATCATATGCAACCAAGTTTTTGTATAGAAGAAGCAAATAAACTTAGACACACTCCTAACACCCATAAACAGGCATACATGTGTGCACACCCATCATACACACATTTCAAAATACGCATTCATCTTAATATTCCAATATTAATTAGTTTAAGAATTTTATATACATATAAAAAAATCAAATTAAACAAAGTTCAAGGATTGTACAATTCAAAAAAGTTCTTCCACGTTCTATTGAATACAAGAGTTTTGTCTCATGAAAAAATTTGAAAGAAATATCCAAGAACATTTGTCTCTATAGAAGAATTAAGGGACCAAGTTTTAGGCATATGTAACTTTGATAAATTGTAGTTAATCAATTAAGCTATATATTTATAATGGAATCAAACCAAGAGCATCAATGTGTTTTTTACATCTCCAGCAGTATTTATGATAAATATTAATTATTTTTCATGCACTAATTTTATATAATATTACATCATCTAAAAATGATAGACAATATATGTAATAAGCTTTTATGAATATAATATGGTAAAATTTATATTGTTAGAAAGTAAAAGAAGAAGCAACAAAGTGAGACACTATGTTTAGAATATTTACATGGTGCAATATAGCCAATAGTAGGTATTATCTTTGTGTATGTCTTACATTCCCCTTCATCTAAAAGTTTGAAAATTCCAAAGTCACTCACATAAGCAACCATTTCATCATCTAATAAAATGTTGCCTGGCTTCAAATCACAATGAACAATTGGTGTTAACAAGCCATATGGAGATACTCCAAAGCAGTTGCTGCATTTAATCATTATATTCAATCTTTGAAGAAAACTTAAAAAATAACTGTGAGAATATAACCATTTTTCAAGGTTCCCATTGGGCATAAACTCCATTACCAAAGATTTGAAATCAACATTGGAACAATAACTTATAATCTTTACCAAATTGCGATGGCACACATTATGCATTATGTCACATTCTTTTTCAAAACTCCTTAACATTACCTGGGAATCAAAATTGAAGATTTTAATTGCAATGAACATTCCATAGAAAGCTTTCCTTTGAACACAGAACCATAACTGCCCCTTCCAAGTATGTTACACTCATCAAATCCATTAGTTGCTTCTTGGATTTCAAGGTAAGAAATCCTTGTTGGCACTCCTAAAGTTGATAAATTCTTTTCAACTTGACCCTTTGAATTTTGTCGAATATGTCTTAAAAGAATAATGCTTGAGACAACCAAAAGTATCAACACAACTATGGGTAATGTGCATTTCAGTAAAAGCAACTTTATCATTGATCTTTTCTTGATTCTTTTTTGCATGGAGGCACTTGGAGTTGTGGTTGGCCACAAAGAGCTTTATTCATCATAAAAAATTCAGGAGTCAAATTCTTAAAAACTCCTCCACTTGGAATCTCTCCTTGGAGTTTGTTATAAGAGAGATTGACATACTAAAGATCAATAAATAACTCCAAAGATTTAGGAATCTCCCTAGACAAATTATGTTGGGAAAGGTCTAAATTTTTTAAGCTTAGAAAATTCCCAAATGATCTAGGAATAGATCCTTGCAATTCATTATGTGCTAGAGAGAGAATTTTCAAATTTTGCAAGCCACCAATAGTTTCTAGGATGATGCCTGAAATATGATTTTGAGATAAATCTAACAAGGTTAGAGCTTTTAGGTTCTCCACCCTTGATGAAAAACCCCTAACAAAAGATTGAAAGATAAGTTTACTATCAATATATCATTTAAATTCCAAAAGGAAGAGGGTATTTTTGAAATTAACTTATTGGAGTCCAAGTGAAGTTCTTGTAAAGAGGTAACATTTGCTAAATAATGTGGCATTCCTCTAGAAAAGTTGTTTCTACTTAATAATAAATAGGCAAGCCTTGTGATTTCACATATCTCATCAATGATTAGGCCATGTAGCTCATTGTCTTTAAGATCAAGATATTGAAGATAATGTAAGCCACCAATTACTTTTGGAATTGAGCCAGTCAAAATGTTTTCTCTCAAAGATGGTTTAAATAAACTGGTGAGATTTCCAAATTTTGTTGGAATATTGCCTGATATAGAGTTGCTTTGAAGATCTAAGATTTTCAAAGTTGAAATGTTAAAAATGTTCAATGGTAAAGATCCACTCAACTTGTTATATGACAAATCCAAGATCTCAACCTTATGGAGATTGCCTACTTCCACAGGTATCAAACCTATATTTAAAAAATTAATTTTAGTGAAGTTATCGAGAATGAATACTTAAAAATAATGAATATGACAAACATCTAACTAATAAGATGTACCATTGTTGATACACCTTTTATGTGAGGTCAGTTTCAGCTCTACATCTAGATTTTACCTTTTTGTTCACACACCACTCACTAACAAGATGGACATTTATCTTTTATCATTTGCATGGATCTTTTAAATTTGTTTATAAATATTGTTCAATTTATTAAAAAAGAATTCTGCTAACAAAAAAATAAAAGATAAAGAATTTTTATTTATTCACATCATTAAAAAAAGTTGATCATTGTAATATAAATCTAAAAGCTGAATCATACTCATGTTTTTGATGTCTTAAACGTACATCCACTGCACCTCTTAATGGTTAAACTTGAGAAAACTTATTATAATTTAAGTTTAAATTTTCAACTTCAAATATTACAATCTTTTGTGAAATGTCTTTGCAATGTGGTAACAATAAAAAAAATTTAAAAAAAAACATGTAACTATTGCTGTTTCTGATTTTGCCAAAAAAAAAAAGGTGAACTTGAAAAAAAAATGATTGTAGCAATTATACATAATTTATCAAACTCTTAAAACATATCTAGGTTTGTTAGATCATTAATTTTTTTAGGAATATTTCTTGTAATTTAGCAATTGATAAAATAAACATAACAACACTATGATTTGTTGGATACATACCTTCCAAGTTATTGGTATCAAGATATAACAATTGAAGTTCAGTAAAGTTTCCAACACTTTTGGGTAAATGACCTGAAAGAAGATATTGGCACTTGCAGACATAAGGGACGAGAAGTCACACATTAGTTGGGCATACGATGTTTCCAACATTTTCACATATTTTAAGAAAACATTCTTATATTGTTAACTTGCTAAAAAAAATCATAAGATTCCAGTGTACACTTTTTAATTGATTAAAGGAATGGCTCTAGAACCAATAAATAATAATTTAAACAAATAATCCTCATTGAGCTTATGATATATGTCTGACTTATGAGCCATCCATCTTAATTAATTTGCCTCACCTTCCATTTCATGAACACACATATTCCACTAATGATTTCACATTGTCTTGCAATTAAGCTTAAGAGCGGACATATTTTTTTCTTTGTGGGACATCCAAAATTGTTTAATTTAGGTATAATCATCGAATTGTAGTTCGTAATGAATTCATATAATTTTAATTTAATGCATAAAAACAATTAAATGAAAAAAGAAATTATAATGGGAATTTTTTTACTAATTTTGAATGATTTTAAAGGGCTCAACTTTTTTAGATTGTTCCAAACTTTTTACTAATTGTTTAATTATTTTACTAAAGTCGAGTTTTGATAAGATTATTGATATTTATTTTTTTACATTATAGTGGGAATGTTACAAGTACAATGAATAACTTTCTGTATCAAGCTAATACTGGATTAATAAAAATATGGAAAATTAAAAGTGCATTAAGAATTAACAATGGGATCCAAATTAAAGGGTGATGCAGGGTATGTGACCTGGTTATTTCTTTGTTCTCTTATAGGAAATGCAACAAAAGCCTAAAACTGACCTAGTTATTTCCATCTTGTTTATCTAAACCTTTCTTTACTTTTTGTTGAGATTTTATTATATTTATTACAGCTTAGTAGTATGCTATGACTTAACATATGGTATCAAAAAAATTAAGAACCTATATTATTATTATGCAGCTATGCAATCAACTTAGATTCATATCTTGGTTTACAACATTGAGAGAGGTACCTCTAATTGGACCCAACAATGATTGAGTCTAATTGAGTTAGATAACTATATGAAATTATTATTATTATTATAGTAATAATTATTATTGAAGACAATCTTATTTAAATTAAAGCACGATCAGACATTAAATATAAGCATCAGCTTAGATTCATACCTTGGTTTACTATGTTGAGAAAGATACCTCTAATTGGACCCGACAATGCTTTAGTCTAATTGAGTTAGATAACCATATACAATATATTATTATTATTATATTATTATTTACTGTGTGACAATAAGACCTTGTAGGTTGCAAAACTAAAATGTTGTTTTGGGGTGACAGGGCATGAGACTTCTAGATCGAAGAAGAGAAATAATGAGGTGTTGAATGCATGAGGTGGAAGTGAGGGAGATCATAGCAAGGAGCTCACTCCACGAAAACTTATGGCATCATAAGACCTTGTAGGTTGCAAAACTAAAATGTTGTTTTGGGGTGACAGGGCATGAGACTTCTAGATCGAGAAGAGAAATAATGAGGTGTTGAATGCATGAAGTGGAAGTGAGGGAGATCATAGCAAGGAGCTCACTCCACGAAAACTTATGGCATCATAATGACTTCTTCCTATTGTCATCACCTCCTCCACAAAACAAAAATTGGCAAAGACGACCTTGGTTCCATCGACAACCAAATGCAAGAAAAGCAGAGGCAAAAGACGAGATACCTTCAATCTCTGATTGATGACCAAATCGCTAAAATGTTCCCTCCCATTACGAGAACTACAGTCAACCACTAAACTATAGTTTTGGGATCTGAACGTTTAAGCCTTATGTAGATCTGTGTTTGATTTCAATTTTAGAAACATTAATGAATATAAATACCAAACTTTGATGGACAACGTTGATATGTTGAAGTTGATCCAATTTGGTCTTACTTTCTTATATACATAGATAAGGGAGGGATACGGAAACGGCCGTGTGGTTGCAAATCCTGATGAAAGCTTTTTGAAAGGAAAATAAGAATTTAAAAATTATATAAACTGATTTCGTATTTAATAAAAATAATACCAAGTTTTATTTTACTTTATAATTCTTTCAAAAATATGTTTGATATGGGTTGTTTTATTATATAACTATAAATTAATTTTTCAAGAAGAATTTTTTTAAAATGGAAATTAAGGAAATCCAATTTGTTGAATGGTTTTGATCAACACCAATGTCCAATGCATAAAAGTGCAACCAAAATATATTCGGTAAGATTGAATTTAGAGATTTGGCATAGTGGGTAGTACATACCTGTGAAGAAGTTGGTTTCTAACTAACTTTTTGCGCTGCTTGCATTGTGTCCAACCAGATGGTATAGCTCCAAATTAATTTGTTGTCTTGAATATGCAAAGCTTGTATATTTGGAAGGCCATCACATATATTTGAAGGGATGCCTCCTGACAAATTATTCCAACTTAAATCAATCTTTTGCAACTCAGATATATTAAAGATAGTTGATGGTATTTGGCCAGAAAACTGACTGCCTCCTAAATATAGAATTTCCATACTTTTAAGATTACCAATCTGTTCAGGAATACCTCCTACAATGATATATATATATATATATATATAAAAGATCGATCAAATCTAGCGTAATCCATCAAGATATAACTCTTGAATTTGGAAGCAAGAGGGAAGGAAACTGATAAGATAACTTTTGAAACTATGGATAACTTATGGTTCCTCAATTTCAGAATTAGGATAGTGTACAGGAAGTATAATAGCCAATTTGCAACCTTTGGCTCTCTCATTAATGAGTTTGGCCCCAATATTGGCATTTGCTGATCATAATGAATTTAATATTTTAACTAAAAAAGGCTGAGGTTGCAAAATAAAGAGAGTAAAGGTTATAAAGCTCTTGGGCCACAAATATGAAGTTGCAAATTTGTTATAAACACATTTTGGATATTATCTCCAATATAAAATTCTAATCAGGGTCTATATAACAATTATGTAAAGCATAAATTTCAACAAATTCACCTATATAAATTTATATCTACCATATAACAAATCATAATCATATATTTGGTAAAAAAGTTGACGAATTAATTTGTAGGGCATTGGTTTGGACTCATTTAAAGGAGTCCAAGTTAAAATTATTTGGATGTTTGTATCAAAGAAAAAGATTCTATAAATCAACAAATAAATTCTTTTTTTTTCAGAAAAAAAATCTTCCAGAAAATTGGCTCCCCAAACGAGAAGAGGCTTGCCCTAACTAGCATATCACCACAATAGAAAATAACTGAAGACTTATTTTTATGCATAAAGAATTACTGAAATAAGAAATTCACGAATACACAACCTTTAATAAAACTAAAGGTGAAAAAGAAACATAAAATGCATCTTGTTCATAGTAATTCTAAGAAAATAATCTAAAAAAAGAAGTTTCTAGCTAGAACATCATAATTTGAAGAAAAGTGAACTTAGATGCTCCAAAAGAGAATACATCCAAACCACCAACATCATTAAAATTAGCAATAACTAAAATCATGAATTCATAACATAATAACTAGTAGATCAGTTATTAGAAAATTTATTGTGATGATGTCCATTAAAATTTGCAAAAAGAAAAAAAAAGCATGGTTGTAACACTGCATTTGTGCTGAACCTCTTTAATAAATGTATTTAGAATGAAATGTGAACTAAAGAAATTTGGCACTTAAAACCTAACTTGAATTAATTGGTCTTTTTAGAACCTCTTTGTTATTCTTCTTGCTGGCTGATGAAATTGGATGACTTTTGGAGGAGGGAGCAGGAGAGGCAGAACATGTAATGTAAGTGCCGTCCATGTCAACTCGTCTATTATCCACTTGTGGACATGTCTCTCTCTCTCTCTATATATAAAGATGATGGTGGTGGTAACATGAAATAGGAGTAATGAGAGAGGAATAGAAAGGGTAAATAGGAGGGAAGTGGACGGGCAAAATAGTGAGGATCAGAGATGCAGCGCCAACGACGCAGACCTCTCCTTCATTCCATCACTTCGTCTACTCCCACTGCCTCCCTCCATTGTTCCCATCCTCCCACCCCTCATCTAATATTCATGGGAGCACATGATGAGCACCATAATCTGGTCTAGATTTAAGTATTTTAGGGTCATCAAAAACTAAGTGATCAACTCTAGTCACTCAATATTCTAATATTCCAACATAAATTATTAATAACTTATTCTTCTTTAATTTTAGAATTAGGATACTGTACATAAAGTATAAAGCTAAATTGAGACCCCTTTGGCTCTCTTATTAATAAGTTTTCCCCAAATGGTGGCCTTTTCTAATAATGAATTTAGTAGTTTAACTAAAATAAGTTTATATAAAAGAAAGTTAAAAAATAAAAAGAGAAAATGTTAAAACGAACGCTCTTAGACCCCAAGTTTCAAATAAAATTATGACATGACAATTTTTGGTCCGTGCAGTAGTGTTGGCAAATGAAAGTTAGAGGCTATATATATTAAACTGCAAAAAAAAAAATTATCAAAAGAGTGAAAGAATTTTACTAGCACAATGGCATTTAGAGACTTATTTCATAGTCAAAATATAAATGTCACTCGTATACCTAAATTTCGATTATTGGCTTTGGCATACAGAAATCCTTCATTGTCAACCAGAATCAGCATTGAAATTCATATATTAATTTATTTTTTTTGGGAAATCACATATTCTATTTTAGATGAATGGAATTTCTCAAGATGGTGACACTTACAGACTTCAAAATTAATACACACACACACACACACACACACACACACACACACATTAACGCGTTTTGGATATTATCCCTCCAATATGAAATTCTAATAAGGGTCTATATAAGATTTATGTAAAACATAAATTTTAACAAATTCACCTATTTAAATTTGCATCTACCATAAAATGAACCAGAATCATAAATTTAATAAACAAGTTGGAGAATTAACTTGTTTGTAGGGCATAGGCTTAGAGTCATTTTGATGAGTCCAAATTAAAATTATAATAATGTTTGTTGCAAAGAAAAATATTCTCTAAATCAACAAAAAAATTTCACTTCCGACAAACTTTGTAAAAAATTATATATTCAACATCATCACAGAATTCTTGTTCTTTGATGTTGGCCCCAAATGTAGCATTCTAAACAAGTAAGGAGGGAAAGAGAAGTCCTAGCCGTATTAAAAAAGCGGTGATGTGGAAAACAAAAAGGTAGTTCCTCACAAGAACAAAGGCAAAACAACCCATAATCTATTTGTTCAATACCTCTAATCCCTCTATGAAGAGAATTAAAGAAGAAAATTAAAAAACCATTGAGAGACTCAAAAGAAAAGAGTATAAATGGAGTCAGAGGGGCAAATCCTCATGGAATTAAGAATAGCATTAGTCCCTTTGGGGACATCTGATGAAATTGGAAGAATAGGATTATATGATTACCTCTATTTTCTAGCCCAAAAAATAGAGGTAAACAGAGTAACACTTCTCCATTTGATGGACACCAAAGTGTTGCAAATTCCACAACACAATTCTTGTGCATCTGAAGCACAAATCTAAATACGTAGCTGAGAGATCTAAAGTATAATGATCAAAGATAGTGAAGATTAAATGTAAATAATGGTTTCCATATTTCTCTCAAGAGCACCAAAACTCCGAAAGGTAGAGAGCAAGGCAAAGAAAACCATGGGCACTGATGTGAATGGGTTCATATTTTTTAAATTTAGAAGATCACCCATTTCCTTAGAATTATTGCTCGGGATATGATTAAAATGCCCTTGTGTAAAAGGACAAAAAGGAAAAACAAATGTTTCTAATAAAGGTGCTGATAAATTTATTTAAAAAGCTAGAAGATATTAACATCTAAGACCATTATTTCCATACTTGTGAGATTGCAAATTGTTTCAGCAATATCTCGTGATGTAGATGACAATATAAAAAACACATCGTTAAGAGTGGTGATGCATTGTAAAGCACGGAAAGTGAGAGATGTTTTGGGTGGGAATGGACTGATTAAGGTTGTTGCACATGGTCACTTTCTGTTTTACTATATCATTCCAATTCCCTATGCATTTTATCCATATTTTACATTACCATTGCAAATTTCCCCTCAATTTAAGTTTGTGGATTTGATTGAATCAAAATATAATATTTTAATGTCATAATAAAAAAAAATATATGCTCATATATACCTTTCAAGTCACTGAAATCATAATTATGCCTGAAGCAATACTAGAAACTGAGAGAAATTTCATTGACACAGCTGTACTGCACTGCTATTCTTATATTTTTTTCCAAAAAAAAAAAGGTTTTTCCAAAGATGTAAAAACCTTCTTGAGTCATGTTCTGAACAACATCAGTTAATCCAATCATTTATAGTGAAAGCATTATGTTAGTAAGTTTGAAATTGCTATGATGCACCTTTTAATTAATAAAAAATTGTATTTTAGAATCTTTATTTTCATCAGAATTAAATATTAAATTAAAGTCTATATTTTGAAAATTATGGGGTGGTTTCAGGAATATTAATGAAATTAAAGATTAATGAATATATTTTTCTCTAAAAATGAATCATAAATAATATGAAAATTTCTAACAATATATATCAAGACTCACAAAATTTTTAATATTTTTAATTACTGTAAGTGCCACGATAGACAAGTTACCAGGGACACAATTATTTTCCAACAAAATCAACGTTGAATAACATATTGTAAATAACTTATCTGAAGGCACACTAACACCTATAAAATTGTTTGCAATGATTAGGATAAAGTATGAATTTATCCGATATAATCAAAGATATACCTATCAAAGAGTTGTATGATAAAGACATATACTCAAGTGAAGATAAGCCAAAAATAGTCGAAGGTATTTTCCTTGAAAGGTGAAGAAAATAATTAAGTATGAAAGGGAAAAAAATAAGAGTAGACAATGAAAAGGAAAAGACAAAAGTTAAGTATTAAAGGAAAATAGAGAATACGCGTGAAAAGTTATTAACTGAAAAGTGGTTAACATAAGACAGTCCTTACGTCATTATGACTTAAAACAACAATAATTAATGGGTTACTTTTAGATAATCATTTATATGTAAAAGAAAAATTTCACCCACATAATATGCATACTTTGAACCTAAGTATTAGCAGCATACAAGTGCCAGGTACATGTTTAGTCTCTAAAATGTCAGCTTGTACAAGCATTTGCAGCATATATAAGTGCCAAGTATATGACAATTACTAAAAATGTCATATATTCCCTCCATTAAAAAATATAAGGCATTTTTGCTAAGGTATTTTTTGTTTTTCAATGTGTAATTGATGAGTTTTTCCAAAACTACCCTTAATAAACTACTCAACTGAAACCTTTAAGTGAGACTCCCTAATTAAATAAGAACAAATATGAAAGGATAACATTAGCTTAAATATAAGTAACTAACTTATTGAGACTGTAACTTGGTTAAAAATATCGAATGGGAGGGGTATTAATAAAGTAAGATATTTGGAAGGTTACAATCAAGTCCCAAATAAGAACACAATTAATAATCAAAACCCTAATGACAAAACAAATTGAGTAAAATATCGAGATAGTAACTGTTTGAATAGTTTTACGTGGTTTTAACGTAACTATATGGGGAACTCTATGAAACATGTGACGTGAAAATATTTTCAAGCTAGCCAAAAGAGAATTGCAAAGAACATTCGATAATTTTATCTTACTCAAATTAAAACATATATTATCACCAATATATCATTGAAAAATGACAGTAGTCAAAGAATTATCGAACATTAATTTTCTTAGAGGAAGCTAATTTGAATAAGTATACTTTTGGAAAGTTGTTTTCATGCAATGCATAAAATGTGCTAACTTTGATAATTCAATTACACGTGCCGTATAGGAAGACATGGAGTTAGAAATGCAAATCTTCACATAATCAATAACAATATTGTATGCTCACCTTTGTTTTTAAGCAAAAAAAAAAAAACCAATGGTAAACATGGTAATATATTTATAAACAATATATCAAGCAGATGCAATAGAGGCACACACCACATGAACCATAATAGCACACCAAATTGATGAAAAGTTATGCATTATGATTAGTTGAAGGCATACCTTCTAAGTTATTTTCAGAAAGATATAATTCCTGAAGCACAGTCAAGTTTCCAATACTTCTTGGTATTTGGACAGACAATTTGTTAGCACCTAGGATTAGAATTTTTAGGTTTGTGAGTGTACCAATTGTTCTGGGAATATCTCCTGCAATACAGTAATTAATGAGAGAACCACATTATTATGAGTGCTCATGCATAAAATGATTATGATAAAAAAGAAAAATAAGTAACAAAAATAATTTAATTATGAATGGATTGTTTTAAAGTTGTTGTGATCAATATATAATAACTCTTGAATTTGTATTTAAAAGAGAATGGAAAAATAGTAAAGCTCTTTGGGCAAACTAAAATCATGAATTCATAATGTGATAACTAGCTAGTAGAGTTATCAGGATTGTTCCAATCATTCATCTCAGGAAGCTTCTATACAATTTTATGTCAAGAGCACCATTCAAGGATAGTTGGTGTTGCACCTGAGGGTCACTAGCTAAAATCCACCTATCATGAAGCTGGAACATGTTTTTCATTGAGTTGAATATCAAGTTTATTCTCATCTATCACTTGTCTTAATATAGTAGCCACAACTTACTCGTTCGAGTTTGGAAGTAGAAACCATGTTCATTGAAAATAAGTATATAGTAATTCAGAGGATGAATGTCATTACTTGTGATTAGTCATCGGTTTAATTCACTTCACCTCCCCTCATAGCTTGTGTTAGCAAGTTGAGCACCTAGAGAGTCAAACTTGAGGTGGTCTTGGAAGATTGAATTAGTTTGGTGATTAATTTGTTAGTAATTACTTGGATATTGTTGATGACCCTAAAATCTATATAAAGGGTTAAGTATTATCTTATTGAGGTCGGGTGGAATACTTGTTTAGGTTCAAATTTTCCTAATATAAAAGCACCAAATATATTATTTAATTACGTGATTTAATTCCTAAATTTGATTTGATAAGACTATATTATATATAATTTTTCTATATAACTTGAAAAATTCAATATCATTATTGACATTAATATCATCATCATCAATGTCAAAATCATCCGCATGAAATATTAATATAAAATTAAGAGTAAATTACACAATTCGCAAATTATTAATAACAATGTTTTTACTCTGAATATCACAAACTCGTCTAATTAGATGTAAATTTCCTGCACATATATATGATTATATGGTCGGAGATTTTTTTTTTTTTTCAAAAAACACAGCACGGTGTTTAGTGATAGTAGATTATAATCATGTCATCTCCTGGTTGAGTCTTTAATTGAAAACGTTTCTGATCAAAACATGATGTATTATGAAATTGTAGTTTATGCCTAACATCTAAAATCGTGATGTATTAGGAACACACGGGAAATTCATTTCAGGGTGCTGCTTTTCTTCTTTCACTACTATTATTTCTACCTTAAAAGGAATAAGAATATAAAACTAGATTTGGAACTAAATTTTATAGGTTTGGTGAAGTTAATCAAAATAAAAAGAGAAAGATGCTGACTCATGGATCTGGCCATCCAAGTTTTACTTTCAATTCAAATATTAACATTATAGATTCTTTAAATTTTTTATCATTTGAAATTCTTTTTATTAACTAAATGAAAACAACCAAAAAGGAGTGAATCTACATGGAGCTTTTTTTTTAATTGGCTAAATTACATAAAACCCTCCTAAACTGTAAGGCAGTTGCAAATGACCCCCCCTCATATTTAAATGTTTAAAATTAACCACCCTAAACTTTAATTTTATTTTTCAAATCCCCCACTGTTAATTAATTATGTTATGTTATTAATAGACTTTTCCATGTTAAATTAATGCAATACATATAGTATATGATATGAGAAAAATATTTTTTATTAGTTTTAACACAGTTTAAGGAGGGGTAGAATTGTAATGCTCACTTTTAACACACATGGTGATGTTCAATTTTTTTTTTTTTTGAGTTGAGCAGATTGTTTTCATTGTTCACTATTAACATAATTTAGGAGAAAGACTATAATTTTATTATTCTTTATCAATTAAAAATAGCCTTTTATATTAAACAAGTGGAAAGAATAACATCTAAAAACTGTCATTGATAAGAATCATAAAAGTAAACATTTATCTTTTAATATAAGAAAACTATGCATCATGGATAACAACAAAATAGATAAAACTAATACAAAAATAAATATTTAAAATTTTACAGTGATAATAACATTTTTTTTCCCTATCAATGCCTCAACTATCCAAAAAGAAAAATGAAATTGAAGCTAGAATAATGAGATGGAAGGGCAGCGAGGGATTTTGAAAGATAAATGACATTTTAATCCTTATGAAAATACTATATTTTTATATATTTATTATTATTTTCTGACATAAGATATCATGTAAGTTTCTATGTGGCTTTTTCGATTATGATATGGAAAACTTTGTTAATAATATAACAGGGTAATCAGTGGTCCACTTTGAAAAACAAATTAAAAGTTGGGGGTTAATTTTATAAGTTTAAAGGTGAGGTAGTTATATGCAACTAATTAAATAGACAAAAATAGATTGTCTAAGTCTTGAGTTTTTGTTCCCTTTAGGATATCAATTTAAATAATTAATAAAAATTAATTATAAAATATCATTGAGATTCACGGGGATATAATTAAGCAGAGCCTTTTTTTAATCTAAATTTAATTACAATATTATGACTGTTGATATATTTGTTTAAAACTTGCACCTCTTTTTTTTTTTTTTTGGGGTCCAAGGAGTCAACCTTGCTAACAGCAGAGATTATCAAGACCTCTTCCAACTAAGTTGTTGCATGTATAAAACTTGAGATTCAAATTCCTAACCACTTATTTTAATAATGAGAGCCCCTATCACTCATGACAACTTTAATTAATAATTTTAAAAGTTGCATCTCGATTATGAAATGTTAAATTTGGTGATGGGTTTGTGCTTCTGCTAGCCAATATGTACAATGTCGTTTTTTGATTTGTGATCATTCTAAATTACTAATATAAAATTTATATAAATCCCCGCAATTCACAAACTATTAAAAGTATAACTTTTTTTTTTTGCCACATTAAAAGTACAACTTACCTTACACTGTATCTCATTCACGGGTAACATTTAATTAAAATTATTTGTATTTAATTTTTTATTAATTAATCAAAATTATAATTTATAAAAAATTTAAAACTAATATAAAAAATGAAAAAATAGTTTCCTTTCAAATTGAAAATCATGTATACTTAATTATTTAAAGAAGTATTATTTTCAAACTATTTTACAAAAATATTCTACATGCACTTTAAAATATTAATTTTTTTTAATTATCTAAGATTTTAATACTAAATAAAAAATATGAGAAAAATGAAAATTTAAAAGATAAATGAGTTTTATGGATTAGGCCCTTTTTGGTAGAAAAGAATTCTAAACATGAAAATGGAATTGATGTAGGAATCCTATTAAGGTGGTGTTTGGTACAGATGAAATAGAATTCCCTAGAAGCAAGAATCCTTTTTTTTTTTTTTAATGTATATGCGTGGAAGCTGGAACAATTCTATAGAATTACTTCATTTAAGACATTTTTACCCTCGTAATGAATTTGAAAAGACAAGTTTGCCCAAAAGTCTTATAATCTTTGACGTCACTCATATTTCATCGTGGACGGTAGAGAGAACAAAGGTGAGAGAGTATGAAGCCACCTTGTGTGAGAGAGAGGGTGCATTATGATGATGGTTTAATTTCCCTTCTTTTTTACCCGTCCTTTCTTTTTTGGCTTTCATTTCCTTCTTTTCATTTTTCTATCTTGATAGAATAAATCTAGTTTGAAATATAAAACCTGGCTAACATCATGATTTTTATGTACATTCCCAGCCGATCTATATATCTATATAATATTTTCACCCAGAATACGCATTTGAGCTTTTTTTTTGTTTTATTTTATATTCTGTTACAAATATCCTGGAAAACCTAGGGCATTATCACCTCTCACTCAAACTAGTCCGAACCCCTATGTGTGGGACTGTTATTACTAACGGTGGCCTCATGAGGTACCTTGAGGATGCTTTTGATATATTTATTTAGCGTGACTACTTATCCTAAGACTCAAACTCAAGACCATATGGTTAGCTAATTTAGCTTTTTCAATTAGCTGAACTAAGTGCCCCTCAGTAAAGGACATTTGAGTTTTTAATATATTTTAATTTTAATTTTAATTTAATGACTTTTTAAGGGTATCTTTGTCATTTAAGTATAATTCTATTTCCATATCACACATACTAAACAACAATACTATAAGGATTCTATCTACTTTTTCTAACATATTAAACGTATTCTTAAAGTCTAATTTTATTTCGATTATGATTTCAATTCTACCCAAAACTATTCAATCATACCACACGGGTCTATGTGAAAACTGAAAACCAATAACAGAATTCAAAGTTTTTAGGGGAATTATAGTTTGGTCTATGGTGCCTAATTTCACTTAAATTTTAAAATTAGAAAATTTTAATTTAAATCTCCAGAAATTTTAATAAAATTAAAATCACTAAAATACTCATCTTTTTTAATAAAATCCCCTTCCTTTATTAAAATTAGATTTTAGTAAATATACCGAAATTCTCTTCATTTATATTCATGATCTTGAATTCTCAATGGAATTTTAAAAGATAGCAAATTATATATAAAAATAAAATCCAATTTTTTGTTTTGTGAAGACAAGGTTTGGGATGTTTAATTAATAGCATTCTGACTGCAACCTATTAGTATCTAAGTTCCTAATTTCATGCTGCAAAAGACAAAAGAAGAAGAAGAAGAAGAAGAAGATAGAAATGAATGTCCCAAATTATAATTTGCGTATACAAAATCAAGCTTCCAGTCAGTGCTTGTGTATAGGAAATCATAGAAAGGTGTTAATATGAGACAATATAAACGGAGATTTTTGACAACATATAGTGTATAGAAGATCACATAAGTTTAAAAGACATTTAACAAATTATCTTGCATTATGGCTCAAAGAACCCAAATGAAAAGGACAAAAAAAAAATGCAAAATAGATGTTCCTAGCGAAGTAGAGATAACCAAATCCGGTAGCACGCTATAATGCGTCGAAAGCTTAGTGATGAAGTTTCCAATAATATTGCAACAATATATAAATTATGTATAATTTGTAGATTCATTTATTACCCCTACTCAACATAATTAATATATATACATATATATATCCCCTTCCCCTTTCCAACAAAATCAATGTTGAATAAAAGATTGTAAAGCTTATCCCAAGACACGTACACTACCACCTACAAAATTATTTGAAATGATTTGGAGAAAATATGAATTTAAAAGAAATAATGAAAGACATACCTTTTAAGGAGTTGAATGACAAAGACATCAATTCAAGTGAGGATAAGTCAGAAATAGTTGGAGGTATGTTTCCTGAAAGATTGTTCCTTGCTATACATAAAATCTTTAAATGCTGAAGCCTTCCAATCTCAAGTGGAATAGATCCATGGATGAAATTATTATTCCAACCCAAGGTCTCTAACTTTGACATATTCGACACACTTGGAGGAATAACAACTTCAAAACTACTATTAAAAAAAATCAAGTGCTGAAGAGAAAATAAACCTCCAATCCAATCTGGAATTTTCCCATCAAATTCATTATAGCTCAAGTTGAGGATTTTTGACTTGTGTAACTGCAGCAACTCCTTTGGTAGCTCACCATGAAAGTGGTTACTATGAAGGTCAAGTTCTACAAGGGAGGACAAATTCCCCACTTGTGAGGGTAAGGTGCCCATGAGACTCATGGCAGCAAGATTCAATATACTTACTCTCTCACTGTTAGCATCACAAGTAATCCCAACCCAATTGCAAATGGAAGAAGAGTTGGACCAATTAGCCAAGTGATTGAATGGATCTCTCACAGAAAATTTGAAAGCAAGATGTGCTAATTCGTCATTTTTTTGTGAACTTGGTGTGACTACACAAAGTCGGGGAGACCATGAGATAGCAAAGCAGTAAGAACATGGAGAAGGAAAACCAAAACCAAAGGTTGGCCATATTGGATTGCTTTAAAGCTTAACAGATTGAAAATGGACGATGAACAAGGTCACGCTATATATATTTGTGCTTGTTTTGGGATAGATAATCGCGCAACACTCATCAATGATAATAAAAGCCGAATAAATTGTGAACCAAATAAAAAGTGGACTATTCTAGTTCTTGCTAAGGTACTTAAATGTCATCTTTCATGAAATAAGGAAGTCCAGAAAAAAAGAACCAGGAGATTTCTTGCTGCCTAACTAGTTCTCTTAAAAAACGTTTTTTCTCAAATATTTTTATTTTTTAAAAACATGTAATGTTTTTAAAATCATTGGTTATTTAAATACAAACGGAGAAGCAGCTTGATAAATACATTTTATTCACTTAAATGGTTGTGACTTTGAGATTGTAATTGATATGTGTTATAGATATTCAATTGATTTTATCTCTTATCTTTTCATATTTGATTGCATGATCAAATGGGCAATTTTATATTATAAAATTCTCCTAATGATCTCACATTGAAATTAGGAAAAATGAAAAAAAAATCTTTGAAAATATGAAAATAAAAATGAGGTCCCTTAAAATGTCATAATTCTTCTCAAGTCTCTAGAAACTTTTCTGATATGAATAATTTTTGGTGAAATGACTAGAATAATCCCAATTTAAAATAAAAAGAAGTAGCAGATCTGGTTCCAAAAAAGTAAATATCAGTGCTTACTTTAGTTTAAGCAATCACTACTTTTGTTATGGAAATGACTAGATTGGAACAAACAATTACAACTTCTCATGTACAAATTTTTTATTTGCTAAGTTCAAATTAAATTTTGTAAATATCTATTACTACTTTAATTTAAACAATGAATACTTTTCCTCTGGCAATGACTTCAATGAATAAACTGGGGATATTTTAAATTATAGAATTATCATTCGGTGTGAACAAAAAAGTCAATAATTTTTGGGTAAAACAAGTGAACATATAAGTCAGTTATAACTTTTGAATTAGTTTTGGTTAACTTACATGTGAAATAGCATCTATTTTACTCCTTTGATAAAACGCAACAATATATGTGAGTTCTTTAATAGAAATTATATGGACTGTTCAAATTCTACCAAAGATATTATCATGCCACTGTATTACCGCCATGGTATTTTACCCTCTTCATCTGTGTTTTGTAGGCTTAACATGTGGTAATTGGAATTGGAAAATTAATTGTTATTTTGATGTGGTGGGTATTTGAGTTGACTTAACCTGATCGAGAAAAATATATAGACAAATAAAAAAGTTGTCACAATCCGTAAGACTTTTTTTTTTCCCCCTTGAGATGAAGAGACAAGATATTATCTACATTCAATTGACCTCAGTATTCTGAATTCTATTCATATTTCATCAACTCTTCATTATTGGATTTGTGCCATACGCATATGGATTAACTGACTTAAAAAAATTCACCCCATCAATGAGTCGTGAAAATAGTTAACAAAATCTCATTGATAGAACATAATAATTTAGCTATTATCGAAATAACTTTAATATGCATATCATACTTATCTTCAAGCTATATATAAAATCATATTCAATAAAAGAAATCTATAATTCAATTTTAAATCAACTGTATTTTATTTGCAAGAGAAATAAATGGGAGAATGACATTAAATGACCAAAACATTGAATTAAAGTTAAATCTAAAGACAAATAGATTTGGAAACCCAAAATAAAGACAAAAGATTCTTTAGTGCATTAGTCTATAAAAGAATTTCATTAATCTGCAATCATTAAAGAAAAGAATTTCAAAGTGAAACTTAATAATTTATAAAACAACAAAATTTGTCAAACTTATCTTCATTTCCAATTATTTTCTGATCATTAATTTGTTAAGGAAAACTATTTCCAAGTAATGATTTTCACAAGTTTTTCTTTTAAAAATTAAAAAAATATTTGAAAATTTTTAAAATATTATAATTTATTTTTCCTCATTGGTTTTGCCTTATTTCATTTTTTACTCTTTCTATAAATAATTTGGGTAATCTAACTTTTATAAATTTCATGATAGCAGGTAAAAAAGTTACATACATGGTGTGTTTTCTTTAAAATAGAGAGAAATAGCTTTCTTCTTTGATAAACTCCGTCATGATCGATGCTATTCTCGAATTTTAAGGAAAACTATGCTTTATAGCCATGCTTTGTATTGAACTTTACTAAAACATACAAGAAAATATTAAAGGATTAAAAAAAGAAGTTTAGAAAGCTCAGTAAAATATATATATATATATATATGTAGAAATATGAAAGAATAAAAAAGTGTATAAAGACTTGTGGAGCAATATCTTCTATATTTTCAAATTATATGAAAATCCTAATAAAACATATAAAAATTTAAAATATATATATAAATTATAAAAAATTCTCAAATATCTCACCTATTATATAGTAGGATTTAAATACTGAAAGTTTCTAAGACTATTATATAGATTACGAAATTAGTATCTAGTGACATTATGTTTTTCAAACTGCTTTTATACTATGACATTTGTAGAGATTGTGAAAATCATATGACTCCTGAAGAAACCATAAGAAACCATATGGGTATGATTCATTTCAATTATTTTCTGATAATTAAATTGTGAAGGAAAACTGTTTCCAAGTAATGATTTTCACTAGTTTTTCTTTTACAAATTAAAAAATTCTTTGCAATTTGTTGTTTTGAAAGCAATCATAAGAGATGCCCTATTATAATTGATCTAATCTGCTTCACGCATGTCACTCACAACTTAATGCATTTACAGACCTAAATGTCTTTCCATTATATAGTCTCGAAAATGTATCTTTAAAATTACCAAATGAGAGAAAGAAATAATGAGATAAATAATATCCTTAGACAAATTTAATTTCCATAAATGTAATTAAATTAATTAATCATTATATATAATCTTAATATAGTTTATTTAGCATTCGTATTATATGCTCACATATATATAATCTTAGACAATTTTTATGATTATTAGAGAATGAATATCATGGTACTCATTATCCCTGATAAGATTTGAATAGTCTAAATTTAAGCTTTTTATTTTAATTTTATATTTAATAAAATAAAAATATGTAAAAAATATAGAAATCTTTAATAAATCTATTTATCACCAATCTAGCCAATAAAAGTTTAATTTGAATGATCAAATTTAATATTAAATTTTTAATAAATTTTACAAATTGATCATTCAAATATACTCAAATAGTACAGGTACAATTTGAAACGTTAAACTTAATATTAAAATTTATAATTTTAACTAATTGATTATCTAGATATACTTTCAACAGTCTAGATTTAATAATATAATTTTTATAATTTTTTGACAAAAATATAATATAAAAATATCTACAAAATAATTTTAAATCAATAGCATAAATCATTTTAAAAGAAATGAAGGCCCATATCACCTTATAGGAGTGATGAGCATGGTGCCCATCAATACTGATGAGCACCGAATGTGGTTCCCTTGTATATGGGCTCTCATAGCCCTAGAAGGAGACAAGGATTTGGTGTGGGATGGAAATCATGCCTAATACACGTGGAGCAATCTCAACTGTTGGTTTTAACTCTACGCATCCCCTCCAAGAGACTTACCAACACACAAAAACAAAATATTCTGTCAATTTAAATAGAAAGATGGAATGAGAATTTTTTTTTTGGTCACATCTTTCTTACAGGAGGTACAATTGGAAAAGAAGTAGGCATGTTTAATTTTTCATTTTATATGCATTTTAAAATGTTGATTATAATATTGAAGTTGAAATTTCTCAGCTCAAATAACATCTACTTTTGTATCAACAAGTGGAATCTTGGGATGGTTTGGAAATGAGACCTTATTGTTGTATTCTTCAACTTGGTGGTGATTTTTTGGCCAACACTTGTGGGTGATTACACCACATGATATTGAAAAAAAAAATGAATTTGATAGAGACATTAATGAAAGGAAAAATTTTACTGCCTCCGTTTAATATTATAAGTCATTTTTAACTAAACTGTACCCCTTACTCAATTAGTTAATTATTTTTAAAAATACCACAGTTTTTCCATATTTATTCTTATTTAAAAGAGTGTCTCAATTGGAAAAACTTATTAATTACATCTCCTAGTTAAGGGTGTTTTTGGAAAAACTTCATTAATTGCACATTGAAAAATCTAAAATGCCTGATATTTTTAAACAGAGAAAATATTTTATTTTACATAATATATATATATATATATATTGATATATAAACATCAACTTATGATATAACTAGAAAAAGAGTTTCATAAAATCTACTATAAAAAAAAACTTTTACATTGGCTTTTTACATGGGTTAAAAAACAACTAGTGAAAAAGTGTGCCTCGTAGCATTTTCATAAATAGTAGACCTGTTGTCTGACTTTCTACACTAGTTCTATAAATAATTGATGTAAATACTACTTTCTATACAAGGTGCCTTATGAGCTGGTGCAGGAAGTTAGATATTATTTTAAAAACAAAAAATTAAATTGATAGGTTTTTTACACCGGTTAGTCTCAATAACCAGTGTAGAATGTTTTCCAATTTCTTAAAAAAGAAAAATTATAGAAAAGTTATAGACTTTCTATGTTGGTTATTTAAAATAATTGGTTTAGAAAGATTTCAATTTTTTTAAAAAAATTAAAATAGTATTAACTTTTTACACTAGCTCTTTATATAATCGGTGAAAAAGCCATTTTCGAGGCCACTTATTTCAAATAATTGGAGTTGAAAT